CCTTGTGGAATTGTCAGGTCAAAGAATTTGTACATTTAATTAATTTATTTATGCCAGTCTTGGGGCTTGAACTTAGGGCCTGGGCACTGTTCCAGAGCTTCTTTTGCTCAAGGCTAGTGCTCTACCACTTAAGGCACAGCACCACTTCCAGCTTTTTCTGTTTATGTGGTACTGAGGAATTAAACATAGGGCTTCATGCATGTTAGGCAGGTATTCTACCACTAAGCCAATTTCCCAGACCGAATTTGTACATATTAAATCGACGGCTCCTGAACTGGGCTCAGGTGGTTCATGCTAGTAATATAGCTGTAGGAGGATTAAGGTTCAAGGCTAGTCCAGCAAGAAGTTCTTGAGACCCTCATCTCCATCAATAGCTAGGTGAATGGTATATGCTTGTTATCCCAGTTATGGAAGGAAATGCAAGCAGGAAGATCAAGGGACAGTTCAGCCTGGACAAAGGATGATACCCTATTTCAAAGGTAACAAGGCAAAACAAGCTAGAGGCATGGCTTAAATGTTGCGCAACATTGCCTAGCAAGCATTAAAGCCTTGAAGTTCAAACTCCAGTTTGAATTTGAATAAAAAGTAGATACTAAAACAAGGCTGCTAAAACAGTCCGTGAAATATTTCCAACACATTCATAACAATGTTTTTTAAGGCAGAATTTGACTCTTCTACCATCACTATTTTGCTCTAATTTGATATGTTTGGCACAGAACATTCCAGTCACTGTTGGAGGAGTACCAGGCGAGACAAAGTTCGTGTGCACTTGGAGGGTCCCCAGCTGCAGTGGAGTGGGAGAACTTGACTTTAGGTCTTTGATTTGGATACTGTATTGTGCATGATTATCCGTTTAATTACTGTGAACTAACTGAGCCCTTGCTATATATTGCTCTTGTCATGCCACACAAAAGAAAACTGAAAGTAAACACCTGCACACAGGCACACAGACTCACACACATACCTACAAGCTGTTACTGCCCCATTATCATTACCACCTTTTATTTTTTCCCCATAGCATTTATTACATTATCTAATTATCTTGTTTATTTAGACATTGTCCATCCTTTCCTAAAGAAATGCAGAGACTCTGTCTCTCTGTTTTCACTGCTATAAATCCATCATTGAACACATTGTTTGTAACCCAGAAAGGCTTAAAATATAGTTGACATCTGATGTGAAAAAAATGGATGCTTATATTTCCTAGTTAAGAAGGATCTTCTTTCTTTAAATCTTCTCCATCCCCTAAGCTTTCCACTGTGTATCACTCTGGCCCTAGACAGTCCCTCCCATTTTTGTCTGAGACTGGGACTTGAACCTCAGTATCACCTGAGCCACACCTGACCCACTGACTTTCCAGTGATGGCTGCTGCTACCAGTCATTGTCATACATACCTCTCGGCATTCTCTTCTTTGTTTTTATTTAGAGTATGCTTTACTTATTTATATGCATCTGTAAAATTTATAAATCCTACTAACTGTATGAATACCTTTGTCTGTACCATTTCCAGCCATACTTTCCAGATGAGGATTAATTTGTGTTTTTATAATTATGAGTGAGGCTATATATTATTAGATGTATGTGGGTCCTTTTCTTGTTTTGACTTGTCCATGAATTGTTTCTTGGTAGCCTATATTATTATTATTATTATTTTGTGATGTTTAACTTTGGGATTTGTGAGACTTCTTTCTCTATTAGGGACATTATCTCACTCTCACTGTGAATATCACACACTGTTTCTTGCCATAAACGTTATGTCTTAATATTCTTTGATATTTGATTGGACAATTATGTTCCACTGTCATTCAAACTCTTGAATGAAAGGTTAAAGAAAAGTTCATTAACTGAGGATTTGATTGCCTCAAATCATTTTTTCACTGATGGTAGTTTTTAGGAAGTCTGGTTATTTAGCAAATATCCTGTGAACAGATACTAAAAAATTACAATTTGCCATGTATGTATGTGTGTACATGTTTATTTATGCATATTCACTATATAGAGAGATATTGAGAGAGACAGAAATAGAGTCTTTTAAGGGAGAAAGAGAAATCTATCCATTCATCCACCATCTTCTTCAATCTTTCTATTGTTCATCTTCTATTTGTCTATCTCTATATCATACATCCATATATCTGTGTTCCATCTATCTTTTAATCTACCTGTCATCCATCTATCTATCTGCTTCTTGATAATTTACTGTTGTTAGAATTCTAGCAAATGAAGAGGCTATAACCTTTGTGGATGAGTTAGCTGTTTTTCTGAGCTGGTCATTTATCACTGTGAGATTGTATACATTTGTTCATATACTTCTACATTCATTTGAATCTGTCAACATAAATCATGTTCTATGCCTACAGTTTGAAAGTGAATCCTAAATATATAGAGCAACTTGCTAAACTATTAGCACTCATTTTGCATACAGTTATAACACTCAGAAGAATCAGAGTTATTTATCCCCATCATAATGAAGACACAGAAATCCCATGGTTGTTGACTTGTTCACTTTCTCTATAATCTTTGTATCCCCCTATTGTGCCCCACAGTGTGCCAGATAGGAGGGATATGAAGGTAATAAAGAAATGTCTTTGCTTTGGCCTGGATCTCAGAGGAGTGCTTAGTGATTGACATCTAGCTAGGCATGTACCAGTACAGGCAAGATGTGAATGAGGAATCATTTTTGTGGAATCAGAATGGGAAGAGGATTTGAAAATCTGGTGTCCTTGGCCTTTGAATTTGGTCTTGAAACAGGAGCCTGATTTCACTATCAGGAGAATAAAGAAAAGGGCATTTGGGGGAACATTCCAGGAATTGCTGGAATGTGTCCGGGCAAAGGCCTGAAAGCACACTGCAAGTTGACAAGAGCAACTGTAATGAAGAGTGGATGCTGGCACAGGAAGGGAGAGACAGGGTCTGGGCTAGGTGGTTCTTGTATGCCATGCTGAGAATTAAAACTTCCTTCTGAACATTAGATCTCCTCTAGGGGAGGAAAACAATAGCATTTTAGCACAGTGTGAATGATAGATGGCTTTGAACAGCCATAGACTCCATGTGGAAGGTGATTGCAAGAGTCCAAAGAAGTGTTGCAGGCCTGAGCAGCTTTGAGGTGGACAGCAATGGGCAAGGTTAGAGGTTTACTCAGTGAGGAGTTGGTGACTAAACAGAGTGCAAGGCCAGGAAGTGAAAGGAACGAAAGAAGAGGGAAAATAAGAACTCTACTCTCATATGAATGAAACAGAAAGAGGCTGCAGCTGCTAAGCAAAATAGGGACTAAAGAAAAAGGGGGTGCTTTTCCAGTATTTAACGAGAAGGTGGAGACTCTGGCCAGAATGTAGCAACACGCAGCAGAGGTACTTACGTCTATTGGTCTGATGGCTATGTTTTAGACACTCCATAAACACTGGTTAAAACAAATGCGAGGTGTGAGGGAAGGGTTAGGTAAAGGATCCAAGAAGCCTTCTGAGAAACAGTTGTCAGAGATGCTGGAGGAGGAGAAAGACAGGGGGACCAGCAGTGGGTGGCATTGGCAAGATCAAGGGAGCAAAGGGAGAAGAGACTTCCAGGAAACTAAGGAGCAGCAGGTGCTGCTGAGCCCTGGCTGTAGAGAACTGGAAACTTTCAGTGAGAACACTGGAAGAGAGCAGGCAAATGTAGATGGAAAGGCAATGCCAGGTGTCAGTGAGTTGCAGCATAGGAATGGAGGAAGTGAGCAAGGGAAGTGACTGCTTCACTGCTTTCTGGTGGACTCAGTGGAAAAGGAGTTCTACTTGAATTGGAGGAATGAATGCCCTTCTTACCGTATTCACACACCAAGATCTGTGTCTCTGTTGATTGGTCACAGTGGATTTCTATGTGAAGTCCCCCCATACCCAGGGACACACACACACACACACACACACCCAGAAAACACACATACACACACACCCCGAAAACACACATACACACACACCCAGAAAACACACACATACACACACACACACACACACAAGCATCAAAGTGTCAGCAACAGAAGGGAATCTGCTGACCCATTCTACTAGCTCAGAAGCCCAGGGTCTAGGCCTACACAGAGTATTCTAAGTAGTCTTTCAGAAGACTGTAATACACTCTAATGTTGGAAAGCTACTGATATATGGCATAATAAAGTAAGCTTCTGAGCGTTCTACAGCCAAGAGGTGAGATTTCTAGCCCAGGAGGAGGAGGAGGTGGGAGGAGTTACCTTCTTCTGAATGGAGGCTCAGCTTTCACTGGACACAGGGGCTGAGTGGCCACATTCCTCTACCCAGTCTCCAATTGCCTATCCCTGTGTAAAACATTTTTACTTTTTTTTTTAGGTCTCCTCCTTCATTTTTATTTATATATTTTTGTAAGCATATTATTATATTTAATTACAATTATAAATATATTAAGATATTTATATTTTATTTTTTATATTTTAGAGGTGATATACAGCGGGTTACCTTTACATACATATCCAGAAATAACTACACTTCTTTTGCGTAGTGACATCTATTCCCTCACTCTCTCCCATTCCTTCTCTCCCAGCTCCACCCACAAGCTGCATAATTTACTTTCACCAGTGTCTGGTGCAGCCAGTGCACTCCTCTGCTGCACTTTTCCACCCTTTTCCCTCTGATTCTGTACCCTCCTCCCACCCTCTCATCGATGTGGATGTGAATCCTCCTTATATACGGTAAAGAATACAGAGTCAACAAGAAAAGAAACAAGAAGAGTCCTTTGTTTCATATCTTTGGGGTTTGTTTCAGCATGTATATTATTTTATATACACAGGAGGAAGTGCTTGGGTATTGCACCATTGTGCTTCTCTCCTAAGACTATAAGGGCATTTACTTTTATGAAAGGCCTCAGATTCATTGGCCTTACTTTTCAGTCATTAAAATGCCATTTTGTCTCTTGGCTGCTGTTGGAGAAGCTGGGGACCATGGTGATTGCTGCTGCTGATTCTATTGCAAATTTATCCGAACATTTGTTTCTGTCCCGCCAGGTCTGCGAGCTGGATATCATCTTTAATTTTGAAAAGGCGTATTTTATCCTTGATGAGTTTATAATAGGTGGAGAAATTCAGGAAACATCCAAGAAAACAGCTGTCAAAGCCATTGAAGAATGTGACATGTTACAGGAGGTTAGTACTTTGGGGAAGAAGAAGAAAATGATGATGATATTTTTAATGTGAGTCAATACTGGGTACTAACCTGTGTATTTTCTTCTAATACATGACAACTGTATTAGCTAAGTTACTTAATTCTACTGCTCTAACACGTAGGTAGTATTGCTTTCCCACTTTTCAAATGAGTAAACTGAGACATAAAGAGGTTCAATAGCCTTCCCAGTTTCAGTAAGTATGAAATCAAGATTGGAACCCAGGCATTTATATTCCTGGGCCTTTGCTTGTCCTGTTTGGCTGAATTTTTGATGTGAGGCTAATGCATCTTCTTTGAAAAAATAATTTTATGAGACGTTAAAAAAGGGATTTTATTAAAATATCTGTGTGGCTCTGTGAAGAATAGCAACATGTAGTTATTTCATTGCCAGGAATATTATAGAAGGTGGCATTTCTCATTTTAATTAAAATTTTTTATACCTCCTGGAAAGGCCTTATGTGTGCTGCTGGTGGCATAAGGAAATGGGAGACTCTGTGGCTTGCTTGCCCAGTGTAAATGGGCGCTGAACACCCATTTGGTATAGCTCTGCATTGCGATTCATATAAAATCTCCTGGGGCTTTTCATTTTCTCTTCCTTTTTTGGTAGTACTGAGATTTGAACTCATACCTTGTGCTTGCTAGGCAGGCACTCCTCCACTTGAATGATGCCCTTCCCCCCCTCACTTTTTTTTTTTTTTTGCTTTTTAAAAAAAACTAGAATCTCATATTTTCACCTACGGCAGGCCTCAAAGCATGATCTTCCTACATATGCCCCTTTTCTCAAGTAGCTGGATACCAAGTGCAAACAACCACATAGGGCTTGTTTAGTTGAGATGAGGTCTGTACCCACACTGGCCTCCAATCAAGATCCTCTGATCTCTGCCTCCATAATACCTGGAATTGTACCATGTCAAACCTGGGACTTTTCTTGTAGCCCCTTTAGCCCTCCAAGAACATAATGAGGAAGAACACTTCACTGCCCATTGCCCACCAGTTGACATGATTGTGTTTGGGGCCCGGATTCTGTTCCAGTTCTGCCACCAGTGTGTGTCCCACATCAGTGAGTCTTTCATGTCCCTGTTTTCATAACAGCTGGTCAGAGGGGGGATTCTGAGCATTGTCATGAGCCTCTTTAAGATTGGTAAAGAAGCCATTCTTCCCACTATTAGAAATACATTTCCCAGCAGATGTGTTGGCATTGGTCAGAGCTGACAGAGAGGGAACAGTCATGGGGGGTGGATATGAAGAAGGACAGCAGCGTCAGTGGGCACTGTGAGGGCTCCAGTGTGGGTTAAGGGGCCAAAGCAATCACTGCTGGTGTTCTCACCGCTAAGATTGCATTAAACACCTTGATGTTTACTCGCTTCTTCCCCAAGATACTAGAGAAATCAGTGATCTGGAAATTCCATAGAACAGCATTTCTTAAAATGCTGGAGGGGGGAGTAGGAGATGGAGGTTATTTACAGTGTTGTCTTCAGGGTTCTTCAGGTGGAATCTCCTTTCAGAAGAAATGGACTTTTCACAGAGTCTTTGGTGCTTTTGTAATTAAAGCTTCCTAAAATAGACCTGACCTGGGTTATTTTGAAATCACCCCTCACCCATTAGAAACAGGTTTAACGAGCTTTCAGTGAATCAGATATTTCTAGTTCTGTTTAAATTGGGGAAGCAGGTGTTTCAAGACCCAGTGTTTTCACAATTAAGCATCAATTGGTGTTTTGTTTCCCTGGTGATGGAGTGGACATTCTTGGTAGGTAGGTAGGTCACAGGAACCTTGCCCTTAGCCCTGTGTCCTCTGTGATTAGGCAGTAAATGCCATGTCTGCCCTCAAGTTGCTCTTGTTACCAACACCTGCCAAATAAAGCAGGTTTTCCTTGTGACCTTTTGGGCTCTGGTACTCAATTTGGGGGAACATATCGAACAACTGAATTTGCCTCTCTGCTTCAGAAAGTTTAGGATGCGTAGGAGAAAACAATGTAATTGCATAAAGGAAGAAAGAATGGCTTCTTGGTTCCCTGTCCTTCGGACCGTGGAGTTACTGTAGGCATGGGAAGGCATCAGGGACTTACCTTCACTTCTAGAACAACTGTAAATCTTTAAGTGGCCCCTGGGATTTTTGCCTAGTCTCTGTTAGGGTGGGTGATTGTCTTCACAGTTTTAGTAAGAAGCCACACAGTCTCAAATTGCCAAATGCTCAATACTTAAGGCTTATTCTGAGATTATAAGGGCTAGAAATTGGTAACCAGTGAATAAGTAGTTTAATTTGGGGGTTGATTTATTGTAATGACAATGTGGGTAACAGAAAGTTTTAGAAGGAAAAGAAAAAGAGACGGAGGCAGGTACCAGTTTATCCTATAATCCTAGCTATTCCCAAGACTGAGATCTGAAAATTGTGTTTCTAAGTCAGCTTGGGCAGTAAAGACTATGAAACTATCTCTAATTAACCCACCAGTAAGTGAGGAGTTGAGCTGTGGCTGAAGTGGTAGAGAGTGCTAGCCTTCAGCCAGATGTGTACAGAGACTCTTGTGTGTGTGTGTGTGTGTGTGTGTGTGTGTGTGAGAGAGAGAGAGAGAGAGACAGACAGACAGACAGACACACACACACACAGAGGCACAGGCAGAGACAGGAACAGAAACAGAAAGTGTCGAGGCTGCAATTCCTATGGTTGCCACTGGGGACAGCAGCGGGTTAAGAAGGGAATCTCAGATGGTAGGTCAAGGTCAAAAAACAGGATACCAAAGCCAGGCACTGGTGGCTCACGCCTGTAGTCCTGGCTACTCAGGAGGCTGAGATCTGAGGATCTTAGTTCAAAGCCAGCCTGGGCAAGAAAGTCTGAGAGACTCCTATCTCCAGTTAACCAGAAAACTGGAAGTGGTGGTGTGGCACAAGTGGTCGAACTCTGGCCTTGAGCTGAAGAGTTGAGGGACAGTGCCCAGGTCCAGAGTTCAAGCCCCACAACTGACCAAAAAAAAGAAAAGAAAAAAAGAAAAAAGAAAGAAAAATAAGATACTACCCATGTAAGTGTGGATGCATGAGCACCTGCTTGCTGTACCCCAGCACGGCACCCTTCAAAGCAGAAAACCCAATCACAATGCAGTAGAAAGTCACAGCATGTTCCAGACAGAATGTACAAGAAACACAGAACGCTAGCTAAAAAGATGCAGAAACGGGTGGGGATACTAACTGCAGTGTGCTTTTTGGGAAGGCAAAGGTAGAGGCATCTTTTAAGGTTTTAAGTCTAGTATGGACAGTTCAGGTGGAAGGCTCAAGAAAATACCAACTCTTACATGTCTGTTCCGTGTGCTCTGAGTGACAGCTGGCTCAGTCAGGGCATGATCACCCCATCTGAGCACAGATGTGCTCTGAGTATTGATGATAACCAGACACCAAGAACAGAGAAGCCAGTGAAGTGCCTACCCTATGGTTTTTGATTGGCAAAAGCTCCTTTAAGTCTGCAAAAGAAGCCTGGTGATGTATTCATGGAACCGTTTATTCTAGTCAGGTTTGCAAAATCAAGATATTTTAATCGCAAAGACTTATGTAGCTGTACAGTAAATATAAGATAGAGAGGAGTGTCAAGCAGTTTCTTAGTGAAAGTAACATAAAATTGTGGAGTTTTTTCTGATCATCTGTCATCTTTTTAATATTAGCAATGTGCTGTAACTTTTCTAATTCTCAATACAAATTTTTACCTAATTTGTAACTGTATTCCTTTAAAAATGAACTCCAGGATCTACAAAATCAGCTCATGCTTTGTCCAGGATGATGCCCCCTATCCAAGTTAAAAGACATGGGTGACATCTTTCAGAGAAAGTCAGGGAGGGCCAACAGGCCAGTACTCATTTTAGGAGATCTAAGCTTTAGAAGAGCATGTGGGTGACTGAGTACAACTATTTCCAGCAGAGAAGCACTGGGATTCAGAAGAGAACAGGTGAACACAGGAGTGGAAAAAGCCTATTTTCTAACCCTGGTATCCCTGACAATCTTGCTTGGCCAGTGGCCTGATCTCTTCGGCTCGTGCTTGTAGTGTCTTTCCCAGCAAGTTGAAAGGAGTTGCATGGACTGAGGTGTAAACTTTAAAAAAAAATACCCTCAAGCATTGGTTGCTAAGTGAGGCTAACAGGAAAGAGGCAGGGGATTCCCTAAGGGTAACTCGCTGCCCTTAGAGCTCACGTGTTGATTCAACCTGGCACCGTGGTACTACACAGATGCCTGTGTTTGTAATAGGAGGCTGTGTAAGAGAAAGTCTATCCATCTTGTATGGTACAGGCTTTGTGACATCATGGTATAACTTCAGCTGTAATTAAAGCTTTTCAAACATTTAAAAAGTGCTGGGGAAAACTAATTACGGCCTTGGGCCAGGGCTTGTTAGCAAATTTGTTCACTAATGAGGAGTAAGATGGAGAAAGGTAATTTGTGTACTTTGGAGGAAGGCCTCTTCAAAACATATGGCAAGAATTCTTCAGAATCCTGGTATGTTTATGTTTCTTGAGTTGGCAGAAAGTATGATAAAGATACTCCACCCATGTTATACAAATCATTTCAGGCTTTCGTAGTATAAGTGCCTGGATGTGGTCCCTATGATCCATTTATCTTAAATCAACAATGATGTTCTTGTCAGCTGGTGAGCTAGCATTCCTTTGTCTCATTTTGTGAGCAGGCTTAACTTCTCAGTTGAAATATAAGTAGCTTCAGCCAAATGGTTGTATATGCATAGGATCCTCAAACATTGAATTACCTTTCTTGATAGAATGCAGTGTCACATGTGTCTCTGAAAAGCTTGTTTTCCATAGCAAAAAAAATAGAAAAAGAATTTGCAGTCCTCTAGAGGAGATAGTTTAATAAAGGGAAAATGGTTCTCATTCATTGTTCTCTTTCAGACAATGGAAGAATACATGAACAAACCTACATTTTAACTGTGCATCTACTTGAAGACTCCAAATGCTGCAAGTTGTGAATTTTTAAAAACTCAATGTTTTGTATCCAGTCCAGACAGAGCTTCTGGAATCATGCCGCAAATAACTTAAAGGGATTCTTGGTTAACTAGCAAAGATTCATGTTGTTTAGCATAATACTTTTGAAATGTCTGTGTCTATAGTATACTGTATATGAGTCCTTAATCTGCCTCTGTGTTGGAAATCACTGCTGTATAACTCAGCAGATTGAATAGTTTGTAATGTTTTAACTCCATGAGATTATTTGTAAGCTCATCAAAAGAAATAACTGCAATATATATTTTTGGGATTTGATTTTCTAAGGGATGAAAGTTAAACTATATTGTAATATCTCATGCTTATGAATATAAAGTAAACCTAATGTCATTAGTGCCTTTCCTAAGTGTTTGGTTTGTACAACCTGGATGCTAATTCAAAATAATATTGACAGTTAAGAGTTCCTGTATATTGCTGGACTTAAAAAAATATACAGAGAGAGACCAGATACAATGTATTTGGTATGGATGTCCTAAATTCATTTTTGTGTTTGGGACTGGAATTACAGAGAATAACCAAGGATCATAGAGGAGCTATTCAGTAGGTTTTGATGTCTTAAAAGCTGCTATCTAAGCTGGAGTTGTAATTTTTCTATTTTTAAAAAAAGACCTTTGATTATAAAGGACATAGCATTATATTTTCTCTTTCTTTCTTTCTTTCTTTTTTTTTTTTTTGGGTCCGGTCGTGGGGCCTGAACTCTGGGCCTGGGCACTGTCCCTCAGCTCTTCAGTCAAGGCTAGCACTCTACCACTTGAGTCACAGCGCCACTTCCGGCTTTTTTCTTTTTGCTTATGTGGTTCTGAGGAATCGAACCCAGGGCCTCATGCATGCAAGGCAAGCGCTCTACCACTGAGCCACCTTCCCAGTCCTAGCATTATATTTTCTATAAGCTATTTATTCAGGTTTTAAGACCTCAGAAATAATAATGTCTATGACATGTCTTACAGTTCAGTGATAGGGATTCATAACAATGGCAATAAATATTATTGCTACTACTATTTTAAAAACACCTCTTACATTCCAAGCAGTCTTAGTTGCTTGAGAAAGCTTCGCATGCTTTCGAATGCTAAACCTAGTATATTTGAGGTCAGTGTTTCTTGGGCTCACTTTGGGCATTGATTACTATGGCAGCGTAGATAGGAGGTGCATTTCTCCTTTCTCTTCCTCCTTCCCCTCCCCAAAGAAGTTATTTGCTGCTAGATGTTATTATTGTGAATCTGTCACCTTGATACTCCTGCAGATTCTGCCTAACCAGGCACTAAATGGGATCAGATACTATGAGGAAGCAGTCGTGGTCGCTGTCCTGGTGTCTCATCATGTCTTACTTGTGCTCCTTGAACGTGAATTTTGAGGTATGGTGTCACTCAAAGTAGCCTGGGCAGGAACCTTCTAGTGCTTCCCAGGACAAGAGCATACATGCTTACTTGTGGGGGCTATGGGAGAACCTGTATGGCAGATCCTCAGAGGATACAGTGGAAAATGATAGCTTTGATCCATCTCAGAAGAATGTAGAAGGAAAATGACCAATTGCTCATCAAAAGCATTTATTTGAAGGAAATAATTCAGATAGTATATGACATAATCAGTAGGCTTTTAGTTTCTAATAATTCCTCAGATTAATGAACTAGAGGTATAATTATGGCCTCAGAAATTTAATTAACCTTGTTTTTATTTTTTTATTTAACGTTCGTGTGTGTGTATGTGTATATGACTCTGAGGTTTAAACTCAAGGCCTCATACCTGCTAGGCAGGTGTTCTACCACTGAGCCACACCTCCAGTTCCTTCAACTTAAAAAATCTGGTAGAACTTGTTATTTTGCATAATAATTCATGTTATGTAAGTGTAAATTCATCAACATTTTTGTGATTCTGTTTTTGGATGAAGGTATCTCTCAAACCTCATCAGATGCTTTACAAATATTCTGGATAATTCCATATTTGGCACTTTCTTGTGATGCACAGGGGTTCTCATATTTGCTGAGAATCGCACACAGAAGACGATCATATTTATGTGGCACATTGGAGTAAATTTGAGGGATTTGGGGGGACATCTTATATGGGCCTAGGTGAAAATAATCATCATGCTTTCTTTATATTATATAATTATAAGAAAATTGCCAAGAGAAAAGAGATAATATTCAATTTGTGTAAAATTTTCAAATAAAATATTTTTAAAAAATTTCATGTCCCTTTAGCCGTAGTTTTTTGTTTGTTTTTGGTGGTAGGATTTGAATTCAGAAACTCAATTCACTTTAGCCATGCTAGAATTTTGCTGGTTTCTTTTTTGTTTGTTTGTTTTTGGAAATGGAGTCTGGCTAACTTTTCTTCCTAGGCTAGCTTTGATCCTTGATCCAACAGATCTTAGCTTCCTGAGAAGCTAGGACTATATACCTGAGCCAGCAATGCCTAGCTTAGATTGGGTTCATTTGTTTTTTTTTGTTTTGTCAGAAGGTCTCACTTTGGCCTTAGACCCTCATGATCTTGGACTGTGATCCTCTTAACTCTGTGTCTGGGGTTACAGTTGTGAGCTATCATGCCTAATTTGTGTTTTGAGTTGCTCTAACAGTGATCTTCCCAAGCTCCACCTCCCAAGTAGCTGAAATTACCATTATTCCTGGCCTCTAATAATTCTTTGGAATCATATTATTATAATACCTATAAAACATCATTAATGAACTGTGTTTGCATTCACTTTACTAATGTGACTAATCCATAAATTATATTGGTAAATGCTAATATATTTTTCCACATGTTCCCTGCAATTTTTGGTGAAGTTCACTCAGATGCTCTGGAAAACAAGGAAACTGAGCCAAAGGCTTTTTCTGAACAATTTATAAAGTAAAGGCCAGTTTTTTACCCTTAAGAAAAAAACCTCTTAACAGAAAGTTCAGTCTATTGACAATGTACTTGAATATTAAGCAGCAGTGATCAATTTTGTCATGTGAAGCTAAAACCAGAAAGGTCTAAAACTTGTAGGGATTTCTTTATTAAATTCACCTTTTGATAGTTCTATCAAAAGTGATGTGGAAATCCAACTTGAAGATGAACCTTCATGAAGGAACTCACACATCACCTGAATCTCAAGATCTTTGTGCATCTGGGCTATTAGTACATAAGGGATCTCTTTTCATTAATTCAGTTCAAAATGTTCTTTTACTCTTGATTTCTAGTTTATAGACTAATTCATGTTCTGAACATTTCTCTATAATGTTCAACATCTAGTCTCTGAACACGAACAAGTAAGTGATAGCACATTTGTTGGGATGTTTTCTGTCATTAGCTTCTCTTAGTTTGTTTAGTTAGAATAACAGTAGACTAGAACTTGAGTAGTTTCAGGCTGTCTCAGCTGCCACTGAAAAGACCTGTGAACTCGTTCTTGCTGCGAGTAGATTGTGCAAGTCATATGGAATCAGGGAAGCGAGCTACACCAAATCACTCATTATACAGAAGAGAAAAGAAAATCAGCACACCAACGCACGCTTTGATCGGGTCCCAGTGCTAATTGTTTGTCTAATTAAACCTTGTCTTGATCAAAGGTGCTACCCTATGAAAGTATTTGATGAGCTTGTTTTCCTGGAATGAAATACAAGCTAATAACATTCAAAACATGTGTTTCACCCTTTTAAATGATACAAGTGAAATATATTGAGTGTAATTTAAATGAACAATTTCATTGCAGAAGAAGAGAAAAAAAAATCAAACTACTGGAATCCAGTTCAAAGTTGAGTTGCCAGATTTTTGTTGCTGGATTTTGCAGGTGGGCATTTCCCCTGTGTTTCATAGGGGAGGAAGGAACAGGAAGACATGATTTGGTGGGGGTGTTGAATAATCTGGAGAAACAGGGTTCTGTGAATACTTCAATCATTTAGTTAAGGCTTCTCATTTCCACTTTGTATCTGAATATAAAAGAACACCTTCATGTTTGGGTCTGAGCTGAGGAACCAGCATTGAATGAAAACAAACATTGCTTGAAAAATGGAGCCAGAGACCGGATGTTTGTTCAACAATCGCTTCTTGTTTCCTCCTGGGTACACAGCCAGACTTTATTTCCCAGCCTTCTTTGAAGTGTTGGGATAGCACCTTTGATCAAAACATTGTTGAACTATGACCAGAAGAATACAGGTCAAAGTAACATATGCCCCATCACGGGTGTGTGTCTTCAGTCTTTTATCTTTCCCTGTTTAAAGGAAGAGACAGAAGGATCTGGGGAAGTTGGAGCCAGGAGATAGAAGGCGGCTAAAAGAAACCTGTCAGGGAAAACAACCAACGAGCATCAGCCATACTGAACTATTACGTGATGAAAGTTTCAACTTCTCTTGTGTGAAGCCACTGTACTACTGGGTTGTGGGCTGTGGCGCTGAGCCTACCATTAGCAATGTTTGAGACAAGATCAGCAGGGCTGTGAAATCAAGGTTATTGGCAGAAGATGGAAAACTGGAGCATCCTTTAAAGTAAAATGAAACAATTATCTGTCTTGGCTAATAAATGTCATAGAAGAGGAGGTTACAAATTCAAGGTCTCTCTTTTGCTCGATAAACTGATCTACACTCCTACCCCTTGATCCACAACCCTAATCCTTGTGCTTTTTTTTTTTTTATCAAGACTTGGACTTTTGCCTGGGTTGGCCTCAGACCACAGTCCTCCTGAGAAGCGGGAATCACACATATATCATACACCCATCTCTGAGTCTTGCATTAATCGGACTACCTCTGAGGTTTTAAGTCACATATTCTTCCTTCATACTTCATTATATTCTCCTGGTTGGTGCTCGCTTAATTCCTTTTATCTGTAATGCCAATTGCTCCATCTTTTATACTCAGATTCTGTCTTTATTTTGCCTTTTCTTCCCTCCCTTCCTCCCTCCCTCCCTCTCTCTTTCTTTCTTTCTTTTCTTCTCCTTCCTTCCTTGCTTTCTCTCTCTCTTCCTCATACTGGGGCTTGACGGACTTGGATGCTGCTCCGTTGTTGTTTTTGTTTTTTGGTCGGTCGTGGGGCTTGAACTCTGGGCTTGGGCACTGTCCTTGTGCTCTTCAGCTCAAGGCAAGTGCTCTACTGCTTGAGCCACAGAGCCACTTATGGGTTTTGAGTGGTTTATTGGAGATAAGAGTCTCAAGGACTTTCCTGCCCAGGCTGGCTTTGAACCTCGATCCTCAGATCTCAGCCTCCTGAGTAGCTAAGATTACAGGCATATGAGCTACCAGCGCTCAGCTTTGTCCCTTAGTTTTTTTACATCAAGGCTAGTGCCCTACCATTTGAGCCACAGCTCTACTTCTCACTTTTTGGTGGTTAGAGATAAGAATCTCACAGACTTTCCTGCTTTGAACCTTGATCCTC